TCTCCATGTATAATACATAAGGGGGGATATGATCTCCATGTATAATACATAAGGGGGGATATGATCTCCATGTATAATACATAAGGGGGGATATGATCTCCATGTATAATACATAAGGGGGGATATGATCTCCATGTATAATACATAAGGGGGGATATGATCTCCATGTATAATACATAAGGGGGGGGATATGATCTCCATGTATAATACATAAGGGGGGGATATGATCTCCATGTATAATACATAAGGGGGGATATGATCTCCATGTATAATACATAAGGGGGGATATGATCTCCATGTATAATACATAAGGGGGGGGATATGATCTCCATGTATAATACATAAGGGGGGGATATGATCTCCATGTATAATACATAAGGGGGGATATGATCTCCATGTATAATACATAAGGGGGGGTATGATCTCCATGTATAATACATAAGGGGGGATATGATCTCCATGTATAATACATAAGGGGGGGATATGATCTCCATGTATAATACATAAGGGGGGATATGATCTCCATGTATAATACATAAGGGGGGGTATGATCTCCATGTATAATACATAAGGGGGATATGATCTCCATGTATAATACATAAGGGGGGGATATGATCTCCGTGTATAATACATAAGGGGGGATATGATCTCCATGTATAATACATAAGGGGGGATATGATCTCCATGTATAATACATAAGGGGGGATATGATCTCCATGTATAATACATAAGGGGGATATGATCTCCGTGTATAATACATAAGGGGGGATATGATCTCCATGTATAAATACATAAGGGGGGATATGAACTCCATGTATAATACATAAGGGGGGGATATGATCTCCAGGTATAATACATAAGGGGGGATATGATCTCCATTATAATACATAAGGGGGATATGATCTCCATGTATAATACATAAGGGGGGGATATGATCTCCATGTATAATACATAAGGGGGGATATGATCTCCATGTATAATACATAAGGGGGGGATATGATCTCCATGTATAATGCATAAGGGGGGGATATGATCACCATGTATAATACATAAGGGGGGGATATGATCTCCATGTATAATGCATAAGGGGGGGATATGATCACCATGTATAATACATAAGGGGGGGATATGATCTCCATGTATAATGCATAAGGGGGGGATATGATCTCCATGTATAATGCATAAGGGGGGGATATGATCTCCATGTATAATGCATAAGGGGGGGATATGATCTCCATGTATAATGCATAAGGGGGGGATTATGATCTCCATGTATAATACATAAGGGGGATATGATCTCCATGTATAATACATAAGGGGGGGATATGATCTCCATGTATAATATATAAGGGGGGATATTGTCTCCATGTATAATACATAAGGGGATATGATCTCCATGTATAATACATAAGGGGGGATATGATCACCATGTATAATACATAAGGGGGGATATGATCACCATGTATAATACATAAGGGGGGATATGATCACCATGTATAATACATAAGGGGGGATATGATCTCCATGTATAATGCATAAGGGGGGGATATGATCACCATGTATAATACATAAGGGGGGGATATGATCTCCATGTATAATGCATAAGGGGGGGATATGATCACCATGTATAATACATAAGGGGGATATGATCTCCATGTATAATGCATAAGGGGGGGATATGATCTCCATGTATAATGCATAAGGGGGGGATATGATCTCCATGTATAATGCATAAGGGGGGGATATGATCTCCATGTATAATGCATAAGGGGGGGATATGATCTCCATGTATAATACATAAGGGGGATATGATCTCCATGTATAATACATAAGGGGGGGATATGATCTCCATGTATAATATATAAGGGGGGATATTGTCTCCATGTATAATACATAAGGGGATATGATCTCCATGTATAATACATAAGGGGGGATATGATCACCATGTATAATACATAAGGGGGGATATGATCTCCATGTATAATACATAAGGGGGGATATGATCACCATGTATAATACATAAGGGGGGATATGATCACCATGTATAATACATAAGGGGGGATATGATCTCCATGTATAATACATAAGGGGGGATATGATCTCCATGTATAATACATAAGGGGGGATATGATCTCCATGTATAATACATAAGGGGGGATATGATCTCCATGTATAATACATAAGGGGGGGATATGATCTCCATGTATAATACATAAGGGGGGATATGATCTCCATGTATAATACATAAGGGGGGATATGATCTCCATGTATAATACATAAGGGGGGATATGATCTCCATGTATAATACATAAGGGGGGGATATGATCTCCATGTATATTATATACCGGGATACTCCTGCGCTGTATGCTCTTTTTATGTCAAAAGCATACGCTTTCCTTTCTTTTTTCTTATTGATAAAAATCGGAGGAAGGTACGGGCCGTTAGCGCACAGAGTGTTTTACCATCCAGTTCTATCGGTCAGCGCAATACAAGAACCTGTGGAAAACGCTGAATCAGCTTCTTCGTATTCTCATACATGGCCTACGCTACTTACCTGTTTAGTTCATTTCCTGTTCATTTGCCTTTTTTTTTCTATATTCTGGGACATATTTTGTTTTTCTATTGGTTTGCACATCTTTTTTTTGTATAAAAAAACGAATGTATAGAAAAAAAGACCCGGACACAGGATTGAAGGCTTCATCCCACCCAAGACACTTGGAGCCCTTCAAGCTCCAGACTCTGATCCAGGAATACAAAACCTGGAGAAAACTCAAAATTCAGCTTTCTCCACTCAAGAGGCCAGCAGGTCTCCAGCAAGACCTGGACACAGGATTGAAGGCCTCATCCCACTCAAGACACTTAGAGGCCTTCAAGCTCCAGGCTCTGATCCAGGAATGCAAAACCTGGAGAAAGCTGAAATACAGCTGTCTCCACTCACATGGCCTGTAGGTCTCCAGCAAGACCTGGACAGAGGTTTGAAGGCTTCATCTCACCCAAGACACTTTAAAGCCTTCAAGGTTCAAGCCCCAATTCGGGAATGCCAAACCTGGAGAAAGCTGAAACACAGCATTTTTCACTCAAGTGGTCTGCAGGTCTCCAGCAAGACCTGGACACAGGATTGAAGACTTCATCCCACCCAAGACAGTTAGAGATCTTCAAGCTCCAGGCTCTGATCCAAGAATGCAAAACCTTGAGAAAGCTTAAAATTCTGTTTTCTCCACTCATATGGCCTGCAGGTCTCCAGCAAGGCCTGGACACAGGATTGAATGTCTCCAGCAAGACCTTGATACAGGATTGAAGGCTTCATCCCACCCAAGACATTTAGAGGCCTTCAAGCTACAGGCTCTGATCCGAGAATGCAAAACCTGGAGAAAGCTTAAAATTCTGTTTTCTCCACTCACATGGCTTGCAGGTCTCCAGCAAGTCCAGGACAGAGATTTGAAGGCTTCATCTCGCCCAAGACACTTTGAAGCCTTTAAGCTCCAAGCCCTGGTCCGGGAATGCAAAACCTAGAGAAAGCTTAAAATTCCGTTTTCTCCACTCATATGGCCTGCAGGTCTCCAGCAAGACCTGGACACATGATTGAATGTCTTCAGCAAGACCTTGATACAGAATTGAAGGCTTCATCCCACCCAAGACACTTAGAGGCCTTCAAGCTCCAGGCTCTGATCCGAGAATGCAAAACCCGGATAAAGCTGAAAATTCCGTTTTCTACACTCACATGGCTTGCAGGTCTCCAGCAAGTCCTGGACAAAGGTTTGAAGGCCTCATCTCACTCAAGACACTTTGAAGCCTTCAAGCTCCAAGCCCCGTTTCGGGAATGCAAAACCTACAGAAAGCTTAAAATTCTGTTTTCTCCACTCATACGGCCTGCAGGTCTCCAGCAAGACCTGTACACAGGATTGAATGTCTCCAGCAAGACCTTGATACAGGATTGAAGGCTTCATCCCACACAAGTCACTTAGAGGCCTTCAAGCTCCAGGCTCTGATCCAAGAATGCAAAACCTGGAGAAAGCTTAAAATTCTGTTTTCTCCACTCACATGGCTTGCAGGTCTCCAGCAAGTCCTGGACAGAGGTTTGAAGGCTTCATCTCACCCAAGACACTTTGAAGCCTTCAAGCTCCAAGACCTGGACACAGGATTGAATGTCTCCAGCAAGACCTTGATACAGGATTGAAGGCTTCATCCCACACAAGACACTTAGAGGCCTTCAAACTCCAGGCTCTGATCCGAGAATGCAAAACCCGGATAAAGCTTAAAATTCCGTTTTCTACACTCACATGGCTTGCAGGTCTCCAGCAAGTCCTGGACAAAGGTTTGAAGGCTTCATCTCACCAAAGACACTTTGAAGCCTTCAAGCTCCAAGACCTGGACACAGGATTGAATGTCTCCAGCAAGACCTTGATACAGGATTTAAAGGTTCATCCCACCCAAGACACTTAGAGGCCTTCAAGCTCCAGGCTCTGATCCGGGAATGCAAAACCTACAGAAAGCTTAAAATTCTATTTTCTCCACTCATACGGCCTGCAGGTCTCCAGCAAGACCTGGACACGGGATTGAATGTCTCCAGCAAGACCTTGATACAGGACTGAAGGCTTCATCCCACCCAAGATACTTAGAGGCCTTCATGCTCCAGACTTTGATCCGGGAATGCAAAACGTGGAGAAAGCCGAAATATAGCTTTCTCCACTGAAATTGCCTGCAGGTCTTCAGAAAGACCTGGATGCATGATTGAAGGCTTCATCCCACCCAAGACACTAGGAAGCCTTCAAGCTCCAGGCCCAGGAAGCTCCAAGAATACAAAACCCAGAGAAAGCTGTAAACACATCCTTTTTCCCACACAATAAACACTCCGGAGCCCCACAATCTGCATTCCCTGTGTCATTCCTATACTCACTGTCACAGTGGCCGGTCCTGGCACTGTCACAATAGTCACATGGTCTACGCTTGCTTAGTGTACACTCCATTAATCGTGTGGCTGTCCATCCTCTATAACTTACCATTATAACCAAGCAAAGCTTTGGACACAACTGGCTTGGCCACAGTATCGTACACGACGTCCTGGGAGGCATTGTGCAGGATCCCGTCTAGTTTAAACGACCAATCATATCGCTTGTTATTGACCACGCCCAGCTTTTCATCCTTCTTTAGGTGGATGTCAATGCTCTGAAGAACAACGGAGAGATTTAGTTATTTATTGCTAATATTCAGAAGATGAAATGATAATATGATGCTCTTCATTGCAACTAGTGATATCCACAGTCATGGAAAGTGAAACAAGAAAGACAGCGCACCAACCTTGCGCATTACCTCAGTAAACCATCATTTTATTAAATTCAGAATGATACAAACAACGAAGTAAATCAAGCATGTAAGTCCTCAAAGGAACTTTAGAAATGTGAAGCCTGTGCAAGTCACATCGTCGGGGTAGACACTCAGAGTACGTCTGACGCGTTTCGAAGGGCATCTCTTCTTCATCAGAGCTCTGAGGACTTACATGCTTGATTTACTTCGTTGTTTGTGAGTATCTGTTAGGGATCCGGGTATGACCAGAAATGTGTGGACTGACACAGGGAAGTAGCAGGCTTCAGGAACACAGGCGTAGTCAGGCTGGAGAGGTGGAATGGTCAGGCAGGCCGTAAGGTACTGTCAGGTGCCACCTGGCAGTGTCTCTAGCAGCCCACAGCACGGATTTCCTCAGGGCGCGGGGTCTAAGTCCCAGCCTGCTATTCACTAGGGCCCCTGATGGTGGGGATGGACTTGGTGCAGACTGGAACCAGGTCACGACCCCTGAGTGCGTCCGGCTGTGGTAGAGAGAACTGGCAGGGGAGTGCAGGAACGGAGTCTGATGGGAAGAGGGAGGCAGACTTACCAAAGGTGATCCGTGCGGGATGGATGGATCGTCGGGTGAAGTAAGCGTAGTCAGACAGGCCGGGTCGGTATCGTGCGGGCAGCGTGGTACAGGAGGAGCAAGCAGAGAATGGTCGGGGTCACAAGCCAGGTTCAGCAGGTAGTGGGCAGCGCGGTACCGAGGATCAGGCAGAAGGATGGTCAGGCAAGCCAGGGGTTCAACAGGAGACGGTCAGCAGAGGTCAGGATCAAAGCAGGGTCAGCAACGAGGCAGGAACACAGGATACCAGGTACAGGGGCTCATGGGAAACATTACACCAAGGCCCTGATCACAGGCCTGGTCATTCCTTAAATACACCTCCTGCAATCAGCCCCAGGTGTTGGCTGACTGCAGGAGTGAGCTTCTGGCTGCTGAGAGCACCCGCTGGTCAGCCCTGGTACTGCAGCCCACACGGCAGGTGAGTCCCACCACCAGTGCTTAGTCCATTCCTGACAGTATCATTCTGAATTTATTAAAATTATGGTTTACTGAGGTAATGCGCAAGGTTGGTGCGCTTTCTTTCTTGTTTCACTTTGCAGTACTGGTCGGGCTTCCCCAGCCTTGTTTAGAGCTGCACAACCCTATATGCATTCGTGGTCGATGGCTCGTGGTTTCAAGTTCTGGTTTCATCCATCCACCCTTATTCTGGGTCATAGAGCGCAGGAGAGGTCCTTTCTGGTTCTATCCACAGTCATGGTAAAGACTATGATGGGATATTTTGATCCGGGAAATGAAAGTAATCTCATTAGACTTCTGTGTTTACTATGCTTCAGTTAGTGAATGAACAAGGAGCCTCTGTACATAACACTTCTTGTTCATTCTATCTGTAGTGCAGCTGAGGCTGCAGAGAAAGGATTGAGGGGTCTGTGACCAGGGGCAGACTAACAACTCATGGGGCCCCCCGGGCAATAGGGGATCATGGGGCCCCTGTGTCCTTGCCCAAACTCAAAAAAGCCTATGAAAAAGGTACCAGGGGCATCTCATGGGGCCCCCTACTGACCCCGGGCCCTCGGGCAGTGCCCGAGTTTCCAAATGGTCAGCCCACCCCTGTCTGTGACCTCAATCTCTTTCTCTAAAGTGAGACATCAGGGATCAGGTTAGACCCCTGATATTTTGTCAAAAGCTCCCCACCCCCCATCCACCACCACCACCAGGACTGTAAATAAAAATAAAAAAAAAATTAAATTGTACAAAAGGAAAAAAAAAAACAGAAAAAGGGTGTGACGGGAGTGACTTTGGGTGGAGGGCCCATGGGGCACAGCCCCCTTTGGAGAGATGGGGAGACCCCTGTCTCAGCTCCCCATATTCCTCTTATGTGTAAGCCACCCTGTGCCTGTTAGGGGTACAGGGTGATCTGTCCTGATATTGTGTAGACATGTATAGGTGGAGGGTGGGGGGTTGTCCATTGTTTAATGCCATGTGGTTGTCCCATTGTTCTATTATGTGTCTTGCTTGGGAGCAAACTATTATGGGATGTATGTGTTCCTGTATTGTCTACTGGCATGTGGTGTATCCCATTGTTTATTGTGTGTCTTGGTTTGGTGGGGGGTGTTTCCAGCAGCCCTTCCCCCTGATGGGACGGCCTGCTGATGTGTTTCCTGTTCCTGGTTGTATTTCCCCGCCCTGTGTATATATCTTGTGTTTGTGTTAAAATAAAGCAGTTCACTTCCGGTCTTAAGAAGTCTGGTGCTGTCTTGTCCTGTATGGTCAGCGGTGGGGTCCGTGGATCTGTGTTCGGACAGGGAAGCGGGAGTCTAACGGAAATACCCTAGCGCAGTCGGGGTCCGGTTCCGTTACAAAGGGGCTCATTCATACACTTTGGCTGCGTGAATGAGTAATTTTCTACGCATCTGGAACCATGTTCAGGGCCATACACTTGCACCCACACATCCATCCAGGCTGGGGGGGGGAGGGGTCCTGCCAGGGTCCTGTGATTTCTACCAGCCCTGTGTGTGTCTCTATATAAATAAAACTATGTTGATGGAAGATTAGAACCCGTCTCACCTTGTCTTCCCCAAGTGTGATGATGTCTTGTGCGAATTTATCGGTGGGTCGTAGCCGGACAAACACCCGCACATCACTGCTCCCGGAACTCATTGTCTCCTTCTGAAAAGACAGACAAAAGTCAGCTAAAATATCCAATAGAAGTGTACTAAAGCTTGTAGGTGAAGAGATCGCGGCTCTCCCAACCGGCCCATGTGAGAAAAGTATAAAAAACGACCTCAGCCATCCCTCCTCTGCCAACCACGCCCTCTTCTGCAAACCACGCCCACTGACGCGTTTCTTCCCACCTACCAACCACTTTCTCCCCACGCCCAACGTTACTGTTCCCAGTGATCTCAGTATCTTCAGCTTTCCTCCTCGCACTCTCAGGGCTCATTCACACATCAGATTGGGGGGTGGTAAAACCCCACGGTTGAGCTACAGTTTTAACATCTCTCCATTTTACCTGCAGAGGCAAGGGGTGTACACATGCCACAGCTGTGATTCCTTGCTTTGCGGCAGGAATTATGCCCCATGCCACTTTCAGCGGATATACCACCCGTCAAATGTGACCTATTTAAGTAAACAGGGCAGCTCTGGAAGTGCCATGCAGGTTGTGGCACACTAGGGTGGTGATTGAGGGGTTCAAGCTGACGGGGGGAGGTGATACAAAGCCTCCTCATCAACTGTCAAATGCTCTCTGAAGCGCAATCTGAACACAGATCACCTTTCAGAGACCAAAGCTTGTGTGAACAAGCCCTCAGTGTCTCCAAGCGTCCCTTGTTATCTGCAGTCCCCAGTGCATCCCGTGCCCCCAGCGCATTCTATATCCCCAGTGACCCCAAAGCATCCTGTGTCCCCAGTGCATTCTATGTCTCCAGTGACCCCAAAGCATCCTGTGTCCCCAGTGCATTCTATGTCTTCAGTGACCCCAAAGCATCCTGTGTCCCCAGTGCATTCTATGTCTCCAGTGACCCCAAAGCATCCTGTGCCCCCAGTGCATTCTATGTCTCCAGTGACCCCAAGGCATCCTGTGTCTAAAGCGACCCCACGGTATCGTATGTATCCCTGTGACCTCAGTGCATCCTGTGTCCCCAGTGCATTCTATGTCTCCAGTGACCCCACAGTGTCCTGTGTCTCTCAGTGACCCCAGAGCCTCCTCATCACCTGTCAACTTACCACAGCAACCAACCTACCATAGCTGCCCATTGTATTCCTCAGGTAAGGAAGGCAGTGCTACAACCTCCCAAAAAATAACTCCACGGCTGAGGTATCGATGCTCAGACATCGGGTGCCAAAGCCTTGGAAGTGCTGAGTCCCTGAAGAACGCCGGCACAATGGTAAAGCTCCTGATAAAGCTGTTATGGCTGAAACACGTTGATGTTTGCTGGCTGTAATTTTACCTTCAAATAAAGCTTGTTGTTCCTCAACCCCCCACAGTGCCTCCTAACCTACCCAAGTAGTCCACTGTATTCTTCAACCTCCCACAGTGACCCCCAGCTCCCACAGTGCCACCCAACCTACCACAGTGGTCCACTGTATCCCTCAACCTCCCACAGTGCCACCTAACCTACCACAGTGATCCACTGTATCCCTCAACTCTTACAGTGCACCCCAGCTGCCACAGTGCCACCTAACTGACCATAGTGGTTTATTGCATCCCTCAACCTCTCACAGTGCCTCCTAACCTACCACAGTGGTCCAATGTATCCCTCAACCTCGCAATGTGCCACCTAACCTGCCACAGAGATCCACTGTGACCCTCAACCTCCCACAGTGACACCTAACCTACTATAGTGGTCCACCATGTCCATCAACCTCGCACGGTGCCTCCCAGCTCCCACAGTGCCAACTAACACACCATAGTGATCCACTGTGGCCCTCAACCACCCACAGTGCCTCCCAGCTCCGACAGTGCCACCTAACCTACCACAGTGGTCCACCGTATCCCTCATCCCCTCACAGTGCCTCTCAGCTCCCACAGTGATACCTAACCTACAACAGTGCTCCACTGTATGCCTCAAACTCTTACAGTGCTCCCCAGCTCTCACAGTGCCACCTAACCGACCATAGTGGTTTACTGTATCCCTCAACCTGCCACAGTGCCTCCCAAATCCGACAGTAGCACCTAACCTACCACAGTGCTCCACTGTGTCCCTCAACCTCCCACAGTGCCTCCCAAATCTGACAGTAGCACCTAACCTATCACAGTGTCCCTCAACCTCCCACAGTGCCTCCCAACTCCCACAGTGACACCTAACCTACC